TTATAATAAACACATCTGACAAAAATTATTATTATTTTGTATTTTTTAAGCATATTGCTAAATTTATTATGTAATATAAAATGTTTGCCTTAATTACATTGCTTTATTAAAAATGAAAAAAGTAATAATTTTAATATAAATACATTTGATCGTAATTAGTATTATTTTTTTGAAGAAATTTTTAAAAAAAGCAATGTAAATTAAGTCTTACATTTATATTACATACAAATGCATTATATATTACTTATTAAAATATATTTTTAATATTAAATTTGTGTATTTTTTAAAGCATATATACTTTTTTTTTAATAATTTCGATTCAATATAAATGTAAATATAAATCATCATACATTCTGATCAGTATAACAACATTTCAATGAAATATTATTATTATTATTATTTTGTATTGTTAAGCATATTGCTAATTTATATGTAATATAAATGTATGCCTTAATTACAGTGCTTTTATTAAAAATGGAAAAAAGGAATAATAATACTTAAAATAATAATAATTATAAAATAATAATAAATAATATTAAAATACATTTGATCGTCATTATTATTATTTTTTTTAAATCTTTAATAAAAGCAATGTCAAATTGTAAGTCTTACATTTTTATTGCATACAAATGCCATATATTACATATAAATAAGTATTATTAATATTATTTTGTATTTTTAAAAAGCATATACTTTGTTCATTATTAATTTCAATTCAATCTAAATAATAATAATTATACATATGATCTGTATAATTAACACATCTGAAATTATTATTATAAGTTTGTATTGTTAAGCCAATTATGGCTATTTTATATGTAATATAAATGTAATGCCTTAAAAAATTACAGTGCTTTATTATAAAAATTATGAAAAGGAATAATAATAATAATAATAATAATAAATAATAATATAAATACATTTGATCGTCAGTATTTTATTATTAATTTTTTTAATCTTTAATAAAGCTAAATTAAGGCTTACATAAATATAAATTGCATATATCTTACATATATAATAATAATTAGTATTAATAATAAACTATTTTTATTTGGTATTTTTTTAAAGCATATACTTTGTTCATAATTTCGATTCAATATAAATAATAATAATACATCTGATTGTTTATAATATCTGAAGAAATTATATTATTTTGTATTTTTAAAGGGTATATAAGCTTTGTTTCATATATATATAGATACGTAAGCCTTAATTACAACCCTTTATTTTAAAAAAATAAAAATAATAATAATAATAAAAAAGTGTTGTAGCAATAATAAAATAAAATAAAAAAAAATTCACTACATTTGTCGCATCAATTAACCAGCGATTTCCTCTCCAAAACACGGTATTAACGATGTTTGGGGTCCAGAGCTCTCCACCTTAAATATGTGGCTCAGCTAGATTTAGTGTGAGTGTTTCTAAATATGCAAACAATTATTTAAATAAAACATGCGGGATGGCAATTACACGTTTTACTGAAATGCGGGATTTGGTATCAATTGAGAATATGTGATTGTGAGCGAATTTCCTGAGGATTTTTTTTTTTTTTCATCGGTCATATAATTATTACCGGTTAGTAACAATTAGGAATCAAACACGGTGTTGCGTGTTTCCAGAAGGTTCAGTTTTTCTGAATAATAAATCGCTCCACTATTCGATTATTCCCGAATGCCTAGCGCTGGGGAAGAGTCAATAAAAAAGTGAAGGGATCGTCTTCTTCTTTTGCGCTGCGTGATCGGGCGATTCACATCAACGCGTGTCACCGCCGGCCGCCGCTTCGCAGTGCGATTGATTCTGAATGGCGCCGCACACCCCCCAATGCACTATGGCAAGACAGATCTGTGTCACGTTGTTGTTTGTGTCACGCAAGGTTCATAGTGATACCGGGTGCATCGGAAAAGGGAAACAAAAAAAAAACGTTGCGTGTGGCATTTGTTTACGAATTCCAGCGCAGGCGGCATCGCGCCAGCGCCCGAACGCCATGCAATGCGAAATATATTTCCACAGATCCGCCGTAGTTAAACACTCGATCATAACAAAAGTATAGCATCACATATACAGCGGGGGGGGGAGCGCATTACTCAAAAATGGGACCCCGGTCTGTCCAGCGTGATGACGTCAACAAGTCCTGCCCTACGCATTTTTGTCACAGATTGACGTCATCAGGGGTATCATCGTTGTCATTGTAATTGAAATAGGAATGGGGCCGCCTACTCACGAGACCCACACCCGTGATTAGTTGCCCCTGTAGGTATCAGACGCCTTTGGTGGTATATGTCAGTTGCCTGAACACCTTAGAACTTACTCTCTAGAAACTCCCCCAAGCACAGTACACTCGCAGTATAGAACCCCTTCCTTAGTACTAGACCTCTCATTATAGACCTCACTCCCTAGTACAGACCCACTCTATTGTATAAGACCTCACTCCCTAGCCCTCCAACAATCACCCTCAGTACAGACCTCTCTCAGTATAGACCTCCCTCCTCTTGTACAAACCCCCTCAGTACAGACCACCCTCATTATGAGACTCACTCCCTATTACAAAACCCCTCCAGTGATAGTACACCTCATCCCTATTTACAAATCACCTCAGGTACAGACCTCTCTAAGTATAGACCTCACTCCCTAGTACACACCCCTCAGTACAGACCCTAATCAGTATAGACCTCACTCCCTAGTACAAAAACCCTCAGTACAGGACTGGTCCTCCTCATTGGTACTACAAACCCCCCATTATAGACCTCACTCCCTAGTACAAAACCCCTGTCATTGTAAAGACCCCCCCCTCATTGGTACACAGGCCCCCTCATTATAGACCATCACGCCTTAGTATACAAACCCCTCACAGTACTAGACCTCCTCATTGGTACAGACTCCTCATTATAGACCCCCACCTTAGTACAGACCCACGCCCTAGTGCACACCCCTCAGTACAGGTCCTTCCTCTGCTGCAGTTACAGACCCCTCATTATAGAGTCTACCCTTTGGTACAGACCTCCCTCCCTATTACAGACTCCTCACCTCACTACAGACACACCTCATTATAGACCCTACCTGCCATGGCACAAAAACCTCTCAGTAAAGACCCCTCCACCCCCTAGTACAGAACCCTCAGTTTAGGCCACTCCTCCATAAAAATGTACTAAAAAAAAAAAAAACAGAGCCCCCCTCCCTAACAACAGACCCCTCTGTACAGGACTTCTAGAGAGGGAGCGCCAACCCCCCAGAGAGAGGAGCCACACACCCCAGAGAGGAGCATACCCCCCAGGAGAGGACTATATATACCCCCCCAGATGAGGACTGTTACCCTCCTAGAGAGGACCGCATCCCCCAGAGAGGACCGCACCCCCCCAGAGAAGGACCGTACCCTCCTAGAGACAACCGCACCCCCAGAGAGGAGCACACCCCCCCAGAGAGGAGCGCACCCCCCCCAGAGAGGACCGCACCCCCCCAGAGACGAGCACACCGCCCAGAGAGGAGCACACCCCCCAGAGAGGAGCACACCCCCAGAGAGGACTGTACCCTCCTAGAGACAACCGCGCGCCCCCCAGAGAGGAGCACACCCCCCAGAGAGATGCGCACCCCCCAGAGAGGAGCACACCCCCCAGAGAGATGCGCACCCCCCAGAGGGGCCCTTCCTGTTACCAGATGACAACCTTCTGTCCCTGTCTCCCAAAAGGTGCTCCTGCGTTGTCACCCTGCCAACTTCAAGCGGCCATTTCCATGCACATTACACAGTCATGGTCCGCTGTTGTCACCATCAGGAAACTCGCCATCCAACAATCACTGGAGCGCATATAGACAGGAAGTGGCTGCAAAGAGGCCGAGGATCAACTTTACAAAACAAACCGTAAAACAAGTATTTTTTTTATTTTAGAAAACAAAGAGAAATGCAATTGTCTATAATACACGGAGCTTTACCAAACGAACCGAACTCAGATCGAACGTTTTACAATATATCCTAATTGGATCGTCTCTGATCATGACTAGTCCAGCAGAGCATTCTGCTTATCGTTCTCCTCTTTAACCCCTCACCCTCCAGAGGATACCCCCCCCCCCACCATCCAGAGGATTCCCCCCCTCACCCTCCAGAGGATTCCCCCCACTCCCCCACACCCTCCAGAGGATTCCCCCCACTCACCCTCCAGAGGATTTCACCCCCTCTCCCACCAGAGGATTCCCCCCCCTCCTCCAGAGGATTCCCCCTCTCCCTTACCCTCCAAAGGATTCCCCCCCCTCGCCCTTACCCTCCAGAGGATTGCCCCCTCTCCCTTCTCCCTCCAGAGGATTGCCCCCCCCCCCCCTCGCTCTTCAGAGGATTCCCCCCTCTCCCTTACCCTCCAGAGGATTGCCCCCTCTCCCTTACCCTCCAGAGGATTGCCCCCCCTCGCCCTCCAGAGGATCCCCCCCTCGCCCTCCAGAGAATTTCCCCCCTCCCACTCCAGAGGATCCCCCCCCCCCTCGCCCTCCTAAGGATTCCCCCCCTTCCCCTCCAAAGGATTCCCCCCCTTCCCCTTACCCTCCAGAGGATTATCCCCCCCCCCCTAAGGATTCCCTGCTTCCAGATCAGGCCATTTTTTGCGTTACGGTGCTGTGTTATTTTGACAATTGCGCGGTCATGCCACACTGCACCCAAATAAAATTTAAATCCTTTTTTTCCCACAAATAGAACTTTCTTTCGGTGGTATTTGATCCCCTGTGCATTTTTTATTTTTTGTGCTACATCCAAAAAAAACCCGCCAATTTTGAAAAAAAACTCCAACATTTTTTGACTATTTGCTTTAAAACATATTCAATAAAATTTTTTTTAAAAAAATCAATTTCGTCATAAATTTCGGCCAAAAATGTATTCTGCTCCGTGTCTTTGCTGAAAAAAAATCCCGATACGTGTGAATGGATTGGTTGACATGAAAGTTACAGCGACTACAAATGGCGGAATAGATACTGGAATGTTTATTTTATTTTTTTTAATTCTAGTAATGGCGGCGATCAGCGACTTATAGCGGGACTGCGGCAGGCATTCTGACACTGGGGGGACTGACTGACTTGGTGTCACTGACATCCCCAATGACACCAATACAGTGATCGGTGCTAATAAAAAGCCCTGACACTGTACTAATGGCACTGGGCAGGAAGGGGTTATAGCGGGACTGTGGAGGGCATTTTGACACTGGGGGGGGGGGGGACTGACTTGGTGTCACTGACATCCACAGTCAGGGGCGGACTGACCATTGGAGAACTCAGGCACTGCCCGAGGGCCCTTGGTCAGTAAGGGGCCCCATGAGATGTTCCTGGTACCTTTCATAGGCTTTTTTGGGTGTGGGCAAGGACACGGGGCCCCATGATCCCCTATTGCCCAGAGGCCCCATGAGTTGTCAGTCCGCCCCTGTCCCCAGTGACATTAATACAGTGATCAGTCCTAATAAAAAGCACTGACACTGTACTAATGGCACTGGGCAGGAAGGGGTTAACATCTGGGGCGATCAAAGGGTTAACTGTGCGCTGTGTGTGTTTCACTGTACGCATGCCGCTATGCAGAGCCATACAAAGCAGTGTGCAGGAGCTGACAGGGGAGAGATCCGTGTTGTTTATACACAGGTCTCTCCCCCATCGGAGATACTCGGGGGTAATCACCAGCCGGTACCCGGTGATTGACAACTGAGGCCGCGAATGGTGGTGCGGTTAGGGCGCCCGCACCCCCTACTCGGAACTGTGAAATCACGTATATATACATGTGACTTTGCGCACCCGTGCCGCCCTGGAGCAGTAATTCTGCACGGAACGGGTTAAACATTTCATCGTTTGGTATCAGTTTTACATTCGGCCACTCGACTCTTTTTATTTATGGCGCCCTCAGAGTAGAACGTCAACCTGCAGATCAGATTTTCATCAAACGGTGGCAGTAGGTCTCCTGGAATCGTCTTGTCTGGTTCAGGTCTGATACCGGTGTAAAGTCCGGTGATGTTAGGTGAGATTAACTCCAAAGTGTCCTGGCCCTCGTGCGACTCCGTTCCTCAACTTGCTGCTGGTCGGATATTGGGGGGAACATGCTTCATGACACCTCGTTAGAACATGTAGGGTACGAACAGGGGCGGACTGACCATTGGGGAACTCGGGCACTGCCCGAGGGCCTGGGGTCAGTAGGAAGCCCCATGAGATGCCCATGGTACCTTTCATAGGCTTTTTTGGGTGTGGTTTGAGTGTGGGTGAGGACACAGGGGCCCCATGATCGCCTATTGCCCGGGGGCCCCATGAGTTGTCAGTCCGCCCCTGGGTGCGAACTGCCGGCCCGATGTAGGGAAAAAGGAAAAGTGGGTTTGATGTTCGAGTCGAACAGTAAGGGCATTCGGCGGGCTGAACTGTGCGTGGTCAGGTGCAATGCTTTGGCCAATCACAGCGCACGATGACCTCACAAGGGGCGGGGTCACCTGGTTGATGTTACCGGTTGGCCCTGCCCCGTAGATATTTAACTATCAGGCCGGTCAGATGGCGGAAGCAGGGGCGGACTGACAACTCATGGGACCCCTGGGCAATAGGGGATCATGGGGCCCAGTGTCCTCACCCACACTCAAACCACACCCAAAAAAGCCTATGAAAGGTACCAGGGGTATCTCATGGGGCGCCCGAGTTCCCAAATGGTCAGTCCGCCCCTGGGCGGAAGCCAGTGTCGAGAGCAGAGCCTTGATGTTGGATCTCCATCAATCACGTTGGATGGTGATTGGCGTTGGATCTACTTCGGGGGACATTTTTTTAATTTTTGTTTTTCGTAAAGGACTTGTTAAAGACTGTTTCCTGTCATATTTACAATACACTTTTTTTTTGTGAATGAGTACTGGTACCAGTACCCCATACTCATTCATATGGGGGGGGGGAGGGGCCAGGATCTGAGGGCTTCCATATTTCGATAAGCCCCCCGCTAGTTTCCCACTAGAGTGCTCCTTTCCCCTTACTGGCCCAGGGGGTGCAGATTTACTCGTTGGTGCCCCTCTTGTGCTGTCTGTGGGTCGGTGGCTGCTACCAGGCCTTCTAGCTGGGCCACCCCTTCCCTGCCACTGATCACTATAGTGGTGTATCCTTCAGTGATTTCCAGCTTCTTGAGGGATCCCACAGGTATGGTCCACGAATGGTAACATTGGTCCAAGCTGGACCAGTTATGTACAAAAATATCCATACCTGGAATACTTCTGAATTCTTCTGTAAGGCTTAGTGTTGCCCCTCTAATGATGCCATGACCTGCCTGGCTTGTGAGGAATATACCGGGCTCACTGTCATATCAGAGGAGTCAATGTGAAACCACCAACAGCAGCCAACAGCGATGGGCCCCGTGAATTCCTTCTGAAAAAAGACATAGGATACAAATTCCCCATCTCTCTACTGCTCCCCTTAGTATCTGCTTCACTCATGACCAAGATAAAGCAAAGGTCAACTTCGTATCAACTCCCATCTTATCTTCCCAGGTTAAAGGTCCCTGGAGGCACCACATAGCCGTACCAAAGACCAGGTATCTGTGGCAGCAGTTAACTACGTTGTTCCCTCTGCTGCGACACACCGCTTCAGCTGACCTCAGACATGTTCTGTCTACAACTACCTAGTCACTGTGAGTTGACCTCAGACATGTTCTGGTCTACAGCTACCTAGTCACTGTGAGGTGACCTCAGACATGTTCTGGTCTATAACTAGCTAGCCACTGTGAGTGTCAGGGTCTAGGTCAGGTTCAGAGACCAGTTGCTATAGCAGTAAAAGGCTTTCCTAAAACCAGCAGGATCGGTACACCAGCGGGTCACCCTGGGAAATAGCGCAGGCTCACCTGAGGTGCGGGGTCTAAGTATTTACCAGTTTTCACCAGAGCTCCTAGTGGTGGAGATGGATTTGGTCGCAGATCTCAGGATCATCCCACCAGGGAATGAGCAAGCTGGAAACCAAATAGATGAACAAACAGAAGCGGAGTCAGTCACAAGCCAAGGGTTGGTCACAAATGGTAGCAGATAAGGATGAGGCAAAATCGTAGTCAGTAGCAAGCCAAAGGTCAGTAATGAAGATGTACACGGCAGCAGGAACAATAAGCGGGATATTGGCTGGGAAGGCACAATAATCTGGCAAAGATGAAATGCAGAGGCATGGCTTTTATCAGGAAGTTCATGGGAGGAGCAAGGAGTTCAAGGTTCAACAGAAAACAAGGCTATTGTCCAATAGATCAGGCAGAGTCTTGTCCAGCATCCCAGGTAGCTCAGTGAGAAAGAAACATTGCCCAGGTTTGATCCCAGGCTCTGACAGTGAGTTGACCTCAGTCATGTTCTGGTTTGCAACTACCTAGTCACTGTGAGTTGACCTAAGACATGTTCCAGTCTACAGCTACCTAGTCACTGTGAGTTGACCTCAGACATAATCTGGTCTACAGCTACCTAGTCACTGTGAGTTGACCTAAGACATGTTCCAGTCTACAGCTACCTAGCCACTGTGAGTTGACCTCAGACATAATCTGGTCTACAGCTACCTACAGTTGTGTCCAAAATTATTCAACCCCCAATGCTGTAAAGGGGTTTAGGGACTATAGTGTACATTTGGAATTGTATTCAGAATCAAATCCTACAAGGACGTTGTAACTACCCAAATGCAACTAAAATGACATCAATTGTTTATGTAATACAGTAGTAAATGGTTCTTATGTGGTTTCTTCATTGCCACAATTATTCAACCCCTTAAAGACTACCACTCTGAAGAACAGAGGTTCATACAGGTGCTTTCCATCAGGTATTGAAAACACCTGTGGATGTCACCGAGCAGCAATCAAGCATAATAAGCACCAATTAGGCAGCTTTAAAATGACTGTGATACTCAGCTCCTTCTAGACATTTACTGGTGTGGTTACAAACATGGTGAAGGCAAGAGAATGGTCCAGGAAGACAAGAGAAGAGGTGATTTCTCTTCACAGGAAGGGCAATGGCTATAAGAAGATTGCAAAGATGTTAAACATACCAAGAGACACCTTAGGAAGCATCATTCGCAAATTCAAGGCAAAGGGCACTGTTGAAACGCTACCTGGTCGTGGCAGAAAGAAGATGCTGACTTCGACTGCTGTGCGCTACCTGAAGCGTAGAGTGGAGAGAAGTCCCCGTGTGACTGCTGAGGAACTGAGAAAAGATTTGTCAGATGTGGGTACAGAAGTTTCAGCCCAGACAATAAGACGCACACTGCGTAATGAAGGCCTCCGTGCCAGAACTCCCAGGCGTACCCCCTTGCTGTCTCCAAAGAATAAGAAGAGTCGACTGCAGTATGCCAAAAGCCATGTGGACAAACCACAAAAGTTGTGGGATAGTGTTCTGTGGACTGATGAAACAAAATTAGAACTGTTTGGGCCCATGGATCAACGCTATGTTTGGAGGAGGAAGAACAAGGCCTATGATGAAAAGAACACCTTGCCTACTGTGAAGCATGGTGGAGGGTCAATCATGCTTTGGGGCTGTTTTGCTTCTGCAGGTACAGGGAAGCTTCAGCGTGTGCAAGGTACCATGAATTCTCTTCAGTACCAGGAGATATTGGATGGAAACGTGATGCAGTCCGTCACACACCTGAGGCTTGGGAGACGTTGGACCTTTCAACAGGACAATGATCCCAAGCATACCTCCAAGTCCACTAGAGCATGGTTGCAGAGGAAAGGCTGGAACATTTTGGAGTGGCCATCGCAGTCACCAGACTTAAATCCGATTGAGAACCTCTGGTGGGACTTAAAGAAAGCAGTTGCAGTGCGCAAGCCTAAGAATGTGACTGAACTGGAGGCCTTTGCCCATGAAGAATGGGCGAAGATACCCGTAGATCGCTGCAAGACACTTGTGTCAAGCTATGCTTCACGTTTAAAAGCTGTTATAACTGTAAAAGGATGCTGTACTAAGTACTAAGATTGAATGTCACTTGGGGGTTGAATAAAACTGATAATGCTGTGAGCACAGAAAAGACATTTGTGGTTATTTCATTATAACTGTTATGTTATATTTGTCTGACCTACAAGTGCCTCTTTAATGTAAATGTAAGCAAGATGACTGAATGATCAAAAGCAATGTCAAACTGGCCAAAACACTCAATTTCAGTGGGGGTTGAATAATTTTGGCCACAACTGTAGTCACTGTGAGTTGACCTCAGACATGTTCTGGTCTACAGCTACCTAGTCACTGTGAGTTGACCTCAGACATGTTCTGGTCTACAACTACCTTGTCACTGTGAGTTGACCTCAGACATGTTATGGTCTACAACTACCTAGTCTGGAGGACACCATACTGAGGATGGGTCTGCACTATTTTCCACAAAGCACCAGGGTTTAACCATTTTCAGAGACCCCAAAACCACCACCTCCTGCTACGATTTCAGATCTACAGGATAATTTCAGATCTCTGATTGGCTCTTCCTTACCCCTCATCACGGACTATCCTCCCATGCTCCACCCCATCTTCTGACCAATCAGCAAGTGGCAACTACTTTACTTGGCTGACCCTGATTCCCCCTCAGTCCAGTCATGGTCACGTAGGCTTAATTCACTTACGTCAATTGAAACTAAAGAGTAAGATCCACCAGGTTCTTATTACTTTATAGAAAATTTGATATACCTGTATTTGAGCATTTTTGTAAGTTTGTATGAAATGCTGTTTCAGAGATAAAACTATTAAAACTTTTTTGGGGTTGTAATGACACTTTAAGCTGGCCATAAACTAATAGAATTTGATTAAAATTTTTTGTTTTTTGGAACAATTGTTTGATTTTCAAACCGTTATCGGGGTCCTATAAGCGCTCATTTCAACTGCAGTACTGAGAAAATTTAAAGGAGCAGAATGGAATTTGTTTTAACTGTGAATGTGGTTTTCTCATCTGAGATTCCAAGTAGCCCTCTTCCTCAAAAAACTCCACTCTCTTGGCCTCCGAGACTCTGCTCTCTCCTGGTTCTCCTCCTACCTATCGCAGAGCTCCTTCAGCGTTACCTATAACGCTGCCTCCTCCTCTTCACTCCCTCTTTCTGTAGGGGTCCCTCAAGGTTCTGTCCTTGGACCCCTTCTCTTCTTCATCTACACCTCCTCCCTTGGTCACTTGATAAACTCCCATGGCTTTAAGTACCATCTCTATGCTGATGACACACAAATCTATCTTTCTACCTCTCACCTCACCCCTTCAGTCTCCTCCACACCTCACCCCTTCAGTCTCCTCCTCACCTCACCCCTTCAGTCTCCTCCACACCTCACCCCTTCAGTCTCCTCTCGCATTACTAACCTACTAAGTGACATATCGGCATGGATGTCACTCCACTTCCTCAAACTCAATCTTTCCAAAACTGAGCTCTTAGTATTCCCCCCAGCCCGTGCCCCCCCTCCCCCGACTTCTCCATCAAGATCAATTACACAATCATCAGTCCCTCCCCTCATGCCATGTAATCCTAGATTCCCATCTGTCCTTTCACCCCCAAATCCAATCACTGTCCAAATCTTGTAGACTTCACCTCCACAACATCTCCAAGATACGCCCGTTCCTAACCTCGGAAACCACTAAGCAAGTTATTCACTCCCTAGTTATCTCTCACCTTGACTATTGTAACTCCCTCCTCATTGGCCGACCTCATCACAGGCTATCCCCTCTTCAGTCTATCATGAATGCTGCTGCCAGACTCATCCACCTTACTAACAGTTCCATATCTGCCTCTCCTCTCTGCCAATCCCTCCACTCAGTGTCCTCCATCCCTCTCTGCAATCCCTCCACTGACCTCCACTCAGTGTCCTCCACCCCTCTCTGCCAATCCCTCCACCCCTCTCTGCCAATCCCTCCACTGACCTCCACTCAGTGTCCTCCACCCCTCTCTGCCAATCCCTCCACTGACCTCCACTCAGTGTCCTCCACCCCTCTCTGCCAATCCCTCCACTGGCATCCCATTGCCCAACGGATAAAATTCAAAACAATAACAATCACACATAAAGCCATTTATAACTCTGCCCCAAATTACATCACCAATCTTGTCTCCAAATATCACCCAAACTGTACTCTCCGCTCCTCCCACGACCTCCTACACTCTAGCTCCCTTGTCTCCTCCTCCCATGCTCGTCTCCAGGACTTCTCCAGAGCTTCCTCCATCCTCTGGAACTCTCTACCCCAATTTATCAGACTATCGTCTACTCTGCTCACTTTTAGGCGATCTCTGAAAATCGATCTCTTCAGGGAAGCCTATCCTGCCCTCAGCTAATAATGGAATCTTCTATTCCTCCTACCAATCCATCCCCCACAGTTACTACCTTTTGTACCACTAGCCCCTCCCTCTTAGATTGTAAGCTCCCAGGATCAGGACCCTCCTAACCCTCTTGTATTGAACTGTATTGTTGCTGTATTGTCTCCCGTTATATTGTAAAGCGCTGAGCAAACTGTTGGCGACATAAATCCTGTATAATAAGAAGAATTTTTGTTCGAATTTTGCACCATTAGTGGGTCATAGAAACGACTGATTTTCGTGACACCATTGAATCTGAGTGATCGAGCATGTTGGAAATTCTTTTTAAAAAACAAACAAATTTTGAATCAATGATGGGAGGATCGTGCGATAAATATAAATGAAAAATAAATGAGCGTGAGCTGTGACCTGGAAAGAAAAGAAAAACTCTTGGCCGCGAAAATTCTTTTCTGTAGCAACACGAGATGGAATTAAAGGTTTGGTTGGTTGAATTTCGAAATCAATGGTGGCGCCGTTGGAGTACAAACCACACAAAATGTCAGATTTTCGAAAGAAAATTCATTCGGAATTCGACCCGTGATTGGCCTGCATTAGACTCAGTAACTGCCTTTTCGAGGCACTCAAGGAGGGTGGGCTGTCGGGGGGGGGGGGGGGGGGGGGTGGTTTCAATAGCAGGGCCAGAAACATACAGTAGTAATTGGGGACACCATGAGGCAGATATGCCGACCAAAGCAAACAAAGTAACACTGGCTGGAGTTTAAAAGAAGGCTTTAGCTTTTGCAGCTGCACAATAGAGAGTTTCTTTTCCGCCGGAGTGTCCCTTTAATTCGGTTGATTTGGCTTCCAAGTCTGAATTTTGAATGAAAAAAGATCTCCAGTGAAACCGAAGTCTCCTTATTAGAGGGGAAGTGGATGACGTCCCGCCCTTTACTCGCCAATTATTTTATTGTGCTTGTTGTTGAAGAACCGCGGCCGATATCGGGAATGACAATAGGTCTGAGGAACAAAAAACCACAAGCTGATCTCGGGCGTAAGAGTCTCTAAGTACAGGAAGTCTGTACAATAATAGCGGCTAAATGGTGTAATTATGTCTTGGCAATGAGGGGAGGAGGGGAAAACCTCCGGAAAGAATCCTCCGATAAAGGGGAACTCTGCCCGGGCTTCCTACAGCTATAGGTGTGATGCAGAAGTGAATGATGAAGCACTGCATGTCCTAAGCCAGGGGTCTCCAAACTACGGCCCGTGGGCCACATCCAGCCCCCTACAATGGCCCTAGCTAGGATCAGTGGCGTAACCTCCAGGTACACAGACTGAGGATTCAACAGAGGCTGCCAATGGTCTCTGTTTCTGATGTAAGGGGGGACTCTGATGGAGACCCTGATACATGGGGGGCTCTGATGGGGACCCTGATGTAAGGGGGATTCTGATAGGGATCCTGATGTAAGGGGGGACTTTGATGGGGATCCTGATGTAAGGGGGGATTCTGATGGGGACCCTGATGTAAGGGGGATTCTGATGGGGATCCTGATGTAAGGGGGGACTTTTATGGGGATCCTGATGTAAGGGGGGACTCTGATGGGGACCCTGATGTAAGGGGGATTCTGATGGGGATCCTGATGTAAGGGGGACTTTGATGGGGACCCTGATGTGAAGAGGACTCTGATGGGGATCCTAGTGTAAGGGGGACTTTGATGGGGACCATGATGTGAATAGGACTCTGGTGGGGATCCTGGTGTAAGGGGGACTTTGATGGGGGCCCTGATGTGAAGAGGAGTCTGATGGGTACCATGACTGATAGGTTCTCTGATGTAAGGGAGGGCTCAGATGGAGAACCTGATGTGAAGAGGACTCTGATGGGGACCCTGATGTAAGGGGAGACTCTGATGGGGATCCTGATGTAAGGGGGACTTTGATGGGGACCCTGATGTGAAGAGGACTCTGATGGGGACCATGTTGCAAGGGGGGACCCTGATGGGGACCATGACTGATAGGGACCCTGATGTAAGAGAGGGCTCAGATGGGGACCCTGATGTAAGGGGGATTCTGATGGGGACCCTGATGTACGGGGGGACTCTGATAGGGATCCTGATGTAAGGGGGGGGACTCTGATGGGGACCCTGATGTAAGGGGGATTCTGATGGGGATCCTGATGTAAGAGGGACTTTATATGGGGACCCTGATGTGAAGAGGACTCTGATGGGGATCCTAGTGTAAGAGGGACTTTGATGGGGGCCCTGATGTGAAGAGGAGTCTGATGGGGCCATGATGTAAGGAGGGACCCTGATGGGTACCATGACTGATAAGGACTCTGATGTAAGGGAGGGCTCAGATGGAGAACCTGATGTGAAGAGGACTCTGATGGGGACCCTGATGTAAGGGGAGACTCTGATGGGGATCCTGATGTAAGGGGAACTTTGATGGGGACGCTGATGTGAAGAGGACTCTGATGGGGACTATGATGTAAGGGGGGGACCCTGACTGATAGGGACCCTGATGTAAGAGAGGGCTCAGACGGGGACCCTGATATACAAGAGGGATTCTGATGGAGACCCTAATGTGACGGGGGCTTTCATGGGGATCCTGATGTAAGGGGGACACTGATGGGGACCCTGATGTAAAGGGGGACCCTTATGTAAAGGGGACTCAGATGGGGTCTCTGATGTAAAGGGGACTCTGATGGGGACCATGACTGAGAGAGACCCTGATGTAAGGGAGGGCTCAGATGGAGACCCTGATGTAAGTGTACCGGGGGGGGGCTCCCCAGGATACAGTGAAGTCACGAACGAGGAAATCAACCCCAACACCAGCTTTTCCCACAACAGAATTTCTTAGATGTGGCAGATAAACACAACCACAAATGCTGGGAACATACAATAAATTTACATACACCCAGCCCAGAGGCTGAGACCCTTGTGCTGCACAGCACGGCGCCTCCTGATGGATGAAGGTAGAAAGTGTAGTAATTTACCTACTGGGGGGCACAACTAAGCTGCCACACCTTACCTGTTATCACCCTACAGAGCAGGAATCAGTGTATGGGGGTACGGTATGGGCTAGCCTGCGGTGCAGCACAACAGCTTACAATCTTACACAAATCTACAGTATTCCCCCCCCCCCCCATAACTGGTCCTGTAGCACGTGCCTGAGTGTTCCTTCTGAGCAAAAAACGCCAGTCTGACTTGAGTTTGTGGGATTTTATCAGCTCTCCAATGTGAAATGTCACTTTAGGTTGTGGAGTCCTTCCAATGATCAGTAACAACACTTGTGGCCTGACACAAACAGAGACCCTAACTAACTATAGGCCTGGACTCAGTCTCAAGGCACCAACACTGAAATGAGGTGCGTGCACGATCTTACCGACCCGGGTCTACTTTGCATCCGTTGGTGACTCTGAACAGAACAAATGTCTCTCCAACAAGCATGCGGTCTTGCCGTATATGTTGCCTAGTTCCTCTGCTCTCATCAGCATTCCTGGTAGCAATCTCATCAGCTTCCTGGCAGCAATCTCTGGTTACTGAGGGACGCTTCCACACCTGGATGTCATCAGATTCTCAGCTCACACGGCCCCTTATACACCATGTTACAAAACATGGCTTCTCCCTCTCCTTCCTGTTCTCTCCAACTCTGTGTGCAAAAGCCCACCTCTTCATGAATATAGAAATATCTATGCAGTCTGAGGCTGTGTTAGAAAAACAGTGACATCTTGTGTCTAAACCCCAGAATGTCAGTCAAAACATTAATTTACTTCCACACAAACAGTGTTCAAACAATGAGAGCTGTTTCCCCATCTCACATAAGGGTTGCTCTAATGGGAACCCTGATAAAAGGGGGGACTCTGATGGGGTTCCTGATGTAAAGCGGACTTTATCTGGGGCCCCCAATGTAAGAGGAACTCTGATGGAGACCCTAATGTAAAGGGGGACTCTGATGGAGACCATGACTGATAGGGACCCTGCGGTAAAGGAGGGCTCAGATGGAGACCCTGATGTAAGGGTTACTCTGATGGGGACACTGATATATGAGGGGGATTCTGATGGAGACCCTAATGTAAGGAGGACTCTGATAGGGAACCTGATGTAAGGAGGACTCTGATGAGGACCCTGATGTAAGGAGGGACTGTGATGGGGTTCCTGATGTAAAGGTGACACTGATGGCAACCCTGATGTAAAGGGGGACTCTGATGTAAAGGGGACTCAGATGGAGTCCCTGATGTAAAGGGGACTCTGATGAGGACCCTGATGTAAGGGGGACTCTGACATTAAGGGAGACTATGGAATGGATCCTAATGTAAGGGTGGACTCTGATGTTGGGGTGGCTCTGAGTTGCTGTGTGATGGTAAATTGTAATCACATGGCTTTGTTTATGAACAAAGCCATAGATGATCTGTAGTGTTTCCTTTCCTATTGACTTCAATGCATTTCACCTAATGGCAACATATTATTAATAGTAACAATACCTCCCAGTTTCCCCTCCTCCTAGTGACAGCACTCCCCCTCCCCCCCTCATGTGTGTTGAAGTCAGCACTCCGTGGCTTGTAAATCGCTCTCTCCAATACACACGCCGCGTCTTTTCACGACAAATCGCGAATGTTCAGTTTGACGCAGTATACAGATGTAGATTTGCCTGATCTGCAGAGATGATGTAATCCCAATTGTCTGAACTCATAAATCCCATCATTCTTCGTGGACGAGGGAGATCGCCCTGCGCCTATTCAGCCGGCGCAAGTCTTGATAAACACGCGGTCCATTCCAGCCAGGAAAGGGTCTCTGCGGCGTTGCGTTGAGAAGAATAGGTCAGTGCCAAATCCAGAGCATGCTTACAAAAAAAAAAAAACCCTAAAAAACGTAAAGCAGCGAGCGAGACGCCTACGTCCCCTCAGACTTTTCACAGTGCGGGCCGGGATTCAAGTAAAATATTACGTGGGTGTGTACATCGCGTGTACATCCACAGAACACGTTCAGTTGTCAAAGCAAGCGTGGATACGCGGGACAGTTCTAGAAGTAGGAGATCGATGGTATCCAAATAAAGGAATGAAACATTTGTCTGCTGTAAACCTTTTATGTACTTTGTTTTTTTAAGTGTTATTACCAAGTATGTCAGTCGGGGGAAGAAATATAGAAGAGAATATTCCCCGCGCTACATGAAGGCAAACGGCTACTCTGTAACACATACATACATACATACCATATATACATACATACACATAACATACATATATACATATATACATATACATACATACACACACATACATACATACACATACACACACATACATAATACAAATACATACATACATAC